CCGGCTATACAGATACAGATACAGATATTTGCTTTCAGCCTTTAAAAAGCAATATATCACGTTCTTCCTTTCCATCATTGGAAATGGATAAAATCCTGCCGATGGCACCGATAGATAAACATCCTCATTTTATTCTCCCGTCCATGTACTTTTGGCGAGAGCGCCTTGATGACTTGGCTTGTCTTGACTTTGGTTTTGAAAATGTATGAACTATGCATGCATTCTCATGTAAGATCTCACTGCATACATCTTTGATAAAGAAATGTTTTGTAGAGGCGGTAGGATGGGTGATACGTGCTGCCTACTTCCCTCAACGACAAGACGAACTCCTTTTTACCATGAGTTTCAGGCATTTAACAAGATTATTGATAGAAAATTACAACTATATTACATTTGATATATTCATACACACAATCATGTAAAGATATCGAAATTGAACAAATCAGTAATATGCAGATAGGTGTTTAGTGGATAGATCGCTTCAGTGTCTATGTCAAAGAAAGAGAGCAAAATCCTTTCTGAACATATGGATATGAAGATAGCTTAGTGAGTAGATCATGCATTGATACATACAAAAACCATAATACAGTGTCTAAATTGCAGGTGAGAAATAAGACTAAACTGCATATTCTTATCTGCTCATTCTCATCTGCCTCATCTGCAAATCATCCTTTCTTCCTCCATTCACCACCTCTTAGGAGGAAGTTCCACACTGAAAGCTTCTTTCCCAGAACAACATCACTTTGGAAAATAAAGCTACCTCGAGATTGCTTCCCTTATGAGTATAACCTTAAACTCTTCAAGTCTAAGGTCAACAAACATCTGTCCTCACTGGCTGTTCTGTAAACCAACACATTATAAGTGGCTCCCATGAGCCTTGTTTTGTGGTGACCTATGAAGTAAATAAAAAAAATATTTCTCACAGTGACTCTACTACAGTAATGACTCTCAGTAGTAACGACTCTACGCCTCGAATATCTAACACCTGAACTGTTTAGGCTATAGGATGCAATAGAACTTTCTCACGATTTTATGGACTGCCTAGCCTGCCTAATGCACTGAGACTTCAAACAGACAAATCATCTACAAGTTGTTATTCTATTTGACTCTATCGTTGAAATACTACGTTTAGTGTGATTTTAGATTTGTTGCGCACTGCTACAATCAGAGTTATTTTAGAATTGCACTTGTTCTGATAATTACAGTCAAAGTTTATTATTGCAATGACAGATTGTAAATGAGCGTGCAATTCAGCCACCAGGCTGCAATATGCTTTTGTGCAATGAACCAAAAATTTGAAATTTGAACTGTATACTGCAAACATTACGTTCAAGATACCTCCATCCCCATGCTTGATAGAGTTGCCTCGTGTTTCGGATGTATATAAGGCACCAGGAGACTGAGTGATGACAGTTTCCCCAGACCAGACGTCGACAGACAGATAATGCCTTCAGTAACCCAGGAGGTTTCAGGTTTATGGAAAGGTCAGTTCGGTCCAGTCTGTGTCCAACCTCACGCCGGTTTGAAGAGCCAAATGTCAGGAGCCAAATGAACCACTTCATCAGACAACTGGTCGGTTCGGCCTTCAAGTTATCATCAATCATTTCAGAGTCTCGGCGGAGACTTAAGCCCGCTCTAGGCAAGCACATACTTCTCTCTTCACCGTCACAACACGAGAAGACTTCCTAACGAAGCCATAGATTGCATTTAGATTACATCCCAAGTCTTTTATGTGCTCGACAATATTGAGAGGGTGTAGAAGCAGCCATGTGGCGAAGATAGAATCGCAAATGCAATCAACAGGTAAAATTGACGGGTATTGTATATTATTTTATTGAAAGACCTTTATTGTACGTTTGTTCTCTTACAGGCTAAGTACAGGTCATAAATAAAGCGGAAGTAACAAAATTACAACAAAATAAAATAGAATAGAATAGAATAGAATGAAATGAAATAAAATGAAATGAAATGAAATGAAATGAAATGAAATGAAATAAAATAAAATAAAATAAAATAAAATAAAATAAAATAAAATAAAATAAAATAAAATAAAATAAAATAAAATAAAATAAAATAAAATAAAATAAAATAAAATAAAATAAAATAAAATAAAATAAAATAAAATAAAATAAAATAAAATAAAATAAAATAAAATAAAATAATAAGAATAAAATAAAATAAAATAAAATTAGACGTTATAGACAGGAAGAAACTGGCACCCCTGACTGCTATTCAGAGACGTTCTGCACTATCCCATTTCGCCCCATGTAGTGTAATTTTGTGGTACAGAAGATGAGGATAGGAGCCGCAAATAACCTCTATCAACTCGTGTCTTACATGAAAACAAATAACAGTTATTATACACATTTAGATGAGAAACAATTTAGCGGTAATATTACGCTCTTAAGTATCATTTACAATTACTGCGGCAAGAAAAATTGTTTCTGATACAGAAATGGATAATAAAACGAATCGTTCTTTGTTAGAACCCAGTAATTTCATGCCTGTTACAGGCTCTTTATTTACCAGATTCGTTTTCTGTCAGCTTTGTGATAAGCACGTACATCAAAGAGCGTCCTGATATGATAGAGTCGGCCCGCGGTAACGGGAAGCCTCAGGGAAGCGCACATTTACCTTCTACAGCTATCAGCCCCAGCAACCAGATTACAAAGTACAGTGACTGGACGTTTCTCAGCTGCTATTCTTTAGCTCCAAGGTGACAAATATCTCGCACAGGACCGCAACTTTGGTCTGTGTGAAGTGAAGAGGAGATACAGCTAGCTACAGACCCTGGGGATGAGTGAGACGCACTACGCTGAAGTGGGTGTAATAATGATTATAACGTACTCCAGAATCAGATGGTAATTGATAGTGTGTCACGGGTATTGGAAAAGAAAGATAACTTTGTGTCGTGTTGTGAGTGGAATCTCAATGGAAAGATACGATCTCACAGCGGTTATGGAGACCGTGCACGACCAGAGTGACGATATACAGAAGTATGATGAAGTATGATGAAAGACTTGCCACATCTGTGGACGCTCTATGTCGTCTCAGCAATCTCGTCTCTTTAGAATCTTCTCTTAATTCAACCAGCACAACAGAAGGGCAATAAAGGGTCGTCTCTGCTTTTTACGTTTACCGAAAGAAAACATATTGTTTTTGCTACGTTTCCTCTTCTTCCTCTTCTCCATCCAAACCAAAAAGGTCAATGACCTGAACCAGATTGTCTGTTACCATGGTAACTAGTGTTGGGTTACATCATGTTTGCAATTTTATAGCAGGAGGGATTTAGACTCCTGTCTGACCAAATATATGAATGTGTTTGAGTAAGAATTAACAGAGCAGACCATATGCGAAGGTAAACATTATGCAGTTGCGTTGCAAATGTTAGCTTTCTAATTCTACAGTATTTTCTTTTACGGTCACCTATAGGTTATCAACAAGACATACGCTACACTTCCAGACTTAATTTCACAGTGAAGCAACCGGCTTGGAGGCAGCGGTGATATTCTACAGCACGTTTTCGAGCCGGGACAGGGAATTACGCTGCGAGGAAAAACACGCGCGCGCACGGCCAGGGGATTGAGCCGAAATTGCACAGG